ACACAAGTTATTGTCATGAAACTAGAAAAATGCTTGTTTTTTGCCCCTTTTTGGCCCCTTATTCCTAAAATTTGGCGGCAATTACCCCCAAAATCAATCCCAGCATTCCCTTTGTGATATGGAACCTTGTGGTACAATGTCAGAGAGATCCATACACTTACACACAAGTTATTGTCATGAAACTAGAAAAATGCTAGTTTTTTGCCCCTTTTTGGCCCCTAATTCCTATAACTTTGAGGCAATTACCCCCAAAATCAATCCAAGCATTCCCTTTGTGATATGGAACCTTGTGGTACAATGTCAGAGAGATCCATACACTAACACACAAGTTATGTCTGGAAGTTACAAAAATGCTTATTTTTGGCCCCTAATTCCTTAACTGTTGGTACCATAACCCCCACAATCAATCCCCACCTCCCTTTTGTGGTATTGAACCTTATGGTAAAATTTCATAGAGATCCATTCACTTAAACAAAAGCTAGAGTGCGAAAACCAATGTGTCTTCGGACGACGACGACTACGATGATGACTACGCCAACGTCATACCAATATATGACCACAAAATTTTTTTGCTGTTGTATAAAAATCAAAAGGGAGCTTACAACAATAGATATAAACAATTTACCAAAGTTTCATTAAATATGCTGAAAGCATTTTTGAGTTCTTGTCCGAAAACTGGAAAATCCCCTTTTTGTAATGAATAAAACCCCATAAATCGTAATGGTACAGTCTAAATTTATAAAAATCAAAAGGGAGCTCATGTCGATAGAAATAAACAATTCACCAAAGTTTCTTGCAAATTGGTGAAATTGTTTTTGAGTTATTGTCCGAAAACTGGAAAATCCCCCCTTTTTTAATGAATAAAACCCCGAAACTCAGAAGCAGTACATCCAAAATTTATAAAAAACAAAAGTGAGCTCACTTCAATAGATATAAACAATTCACCAAAGTTTCATGCATATTGGTTTAAGCGTTTTTGAGTTATTGTCCGAAAACTGGAAAATCCCCCTTTTTTAATTGAAAAAACCCGAATACTACGAAACTGAAAATCTAAAACTTATAAAAAACGAAAGGGAGCTCAGGTCAATAGATATAAACATTTCATTAAAGTTTCATGTGAATTGGTTAAAGCGTTTTTGAGTAATGGTCCGACATGTTGACGACGGACGGACAACGGTATACCACAATACGTCCCGTAAACAGGCGTATAAAAACCATAAATTTCTCCAACAAAATGTTACCTACAGTCAACATGGTCAAAGTGGAGACATAACAATCTACATAAACATGATAAAAAGAAGTAATAAGTGCTCAGGTACAGTACATCAGTTGATTTTTCAATAACTTAATTTTGAAAAATTCAATAATGACCAATGTTTTGACAAATTTTACATTGTTAAGGATTTGTTTCTTTGAAAACATGCATATATGCATGTGCAAATAAAATTGCAACAGATATTTCCTGGCTTAAAGTAAAATAAACTGTTGGCACAGAGATATGTCTCGCCTGTCAGCATAAAATTCATAATAAACTGCTTCGCTGAGCGCAGCTAGATACGCCCACAGAGGTCCAACCCTGAACAGTTGGGGCAAAAATGGACACAATATTCAAGCTTGATTCAGGTCTGAATTTGGATTGTAATTAAACATTTGACTTATTATAGGTTTCTGAATAAATGTAGTCAAAGAACTTGAAATTGGTTATATGAATTGAATTTATATTCAATTAAAGATTTCTTGCTGTTGTACAATACTTAGTAAATCTGTTGTCAGACTATAAACAAATAAAGTTCAATTAATTCCCAATGTCATATTAAAAATTTATGAAAATAAAAAGGGAGCTTACATCAATAGATATAAACAATTCACCAAAGTTTCATGAGAACTGGTGACAGCATTTATGAGTTATTGTCTGAAAACTGGAAAATCACCCCTTTTTTAATGAATAAACCCCATAACTCAGAAATGTAAAATGTAAAATTTATAAAATTCTAAAGGGAGCCGACATCAATACATACAAACAATTCACAAAAGTTTCATAAGAATTGCTGAAAGCATTTTTGAGTTTTTGTCTGAAAACTGGAAAATCCCCCCCTTTTTTTTATGAATAAAACCCTGTAACTCGGAAACATAAAATCTAAAATTCATAAAAATCGAAAGGGAGCTCATGTCAATAGATATGAACAATTCACCACAATTTCTTGCAAGTTGGTGAAAGCATTCTTGACTTATTGTCTGAAAACTGGAAAATCCCCCTTTTTTTAATGAATAAAACCCCATAACTCAGAAACTTAAAATCTAAATTTTATAAAAAACGAAAGGGAGCTCACTTCAATAATAGATATAAACAATTCACAAAAGTTTTATGCAAATTGGTTAAAGCATTTTTGAGCTAATGTCCCGACATGTTGACAACGGACAGACGGATGGACAGACGGACGGACAGACAATGGTATACCATAATACGTCCCGTAAACGGGCGTATAAAAAGACAATCTGATGGACAGCAACATTGCTTAATAATTCAAAGACGCTGGACCATGAATTAGTGTGCAGGGCCTCAAAATGGTCAACAAACTGAGTTGTACGGACAGTGATGTAACTTTATAGAAAATATCATGGTCTATTTTAAGTAGTTCCTATCAAACTAACTTAAACAGAAAACTTAACATTTAAAATTAGAAATTAAATTGAAAGTTACTGGACCATGACCTAAGGAGCAGGACCTCGAAATAGTCTTCTATCTGATATGTAATAACAACAACAACACTACTTTATTCAAAAGGGTTACACAGTTAGCTATATAACTAATCTTCAGAGAGGCCCTCATCATAGAAAAAGCATAAACAAAAATGCAAACATATAGTAAATGGCATACATTAGTATAAAATTCAAGTATAGTGATAATCATGACAATGTTCAATACTACTGCATTAAATGTTATGAAAAAATAAAAATGATGAAATAATTAATATTCAATATTTTTTCAACTGGTTGATTTCAATAAATGATCTGTTATTTTGTATTTGAAAGAATTAACATATGTAATAATCCATAACACTATTGGCAAATTGTTCCACAAGAATGGTTCTGAATACATAAAAGATTTCTTGACCAATACTATTTTTCGTTTAAGGAGTATAAGGTTTCCTTGAGCAGTATTACTGATAGTAATGCAACTTTATAGAAAATATCACTGAACTATCACAAGTAGTTTCTATCAAACTGACTAAAGCAGCAAACTTAAATTGTTTATTAATTGAAAGTCATTGGACCATGACCTAGAAGGCAGGGCCTCAAAATAGTCGTCAAACTGATATGTACTGATAGTAATGCAACATCAAACAAAATATCATTGATCATGTTGATGTATCACAAGTAGTTCTTGCTGGTCCTGACTATTATTTTTATTGCAAAATACCAAAATTGTGGTGGTCCTTTGCAAATTTTGGTGGTCAAAACCCTCGGACCACCACTTTTCGAGAACTCTGGATTCTGTAAACATAGATTATTGTGTTTTATTGCAAAAATGTACTTGTTTTGATGTTAGTAAACTCAATTGGTCATCAAATTGTAAAATCAGCACTCAGTTTTTGAAAATATGAAGTTGGGTGAAACAAGGAGATTCTTTGAGTCCCTCATTGTTTAATTTTTTTATTAATGATATTGACAGTGAATTCTCATAAATTGATAATTATCCTTTAAAATTAATTTCTTCTGAGGTTAGTTGTCTTATGATTACAGACCACTTACTAAATACTATCAGAAAATAAACAAGGTTTTGATCTGATAAACATTTCAATACCAATAAACTTTTTTACATTTATACATTTATAATGACTTGTGGTGAAGTATTCTCTTAGCGCCTCAGAGTGCGGGATTTTCTCGCTGTCTTGAAGACACATTGGTGGACTTGGGCTGTTTTCTGCTCTTTGGTCAGGCTGTTGTCTCTTTGACCCTTTCCCCGTTTCTATTCTCAATTTTATCTTAGTAACTAAATTAATTTCAGAGTTCTTAAACAGTTCAATAGATCGTCTTTTTAAAAAAATAATTTTAGCTGCCATACAATGTAATTTGCAAATTCGGAATTTAATTACAGGTGTGTTGTCAGATAAACTGGTCAATCAATTTTAATTCCAGAGTTCATGTTTTGTTATACATGTCTGTGTATTACATGTATTACTTCGACACAATGAATGCAATTTATATGCTTTTGTTAACCTTGGGACCGTAACTTTGGTTTGACACAACAGAAATTTCGACTCATCTGTCTCATCAGAAGTCGAAATACATATATTTGAATGGAACAAAGTTTGGGACCACGGGAAAGTTTCTACTCATCCAAAAACTCGAGTCAACCCAGTTCGAAACAAGGAGAGTTAACTGTATAACAGAAATGAAGGCTTGGCTCCAGAAATTTATTGACGGGTGTGTAACAGTTAAGTATAATAAAAAAATTTTGTTTTAAATAAAATGGGGCACTTCATCAAGGACCATTTTATTATAAAGTTTCAAAGCTGAATGTTATGAAGTTAAACTCTTAGAACTTTGTTTTTTTATTTCTTGTTTTACATTTTATATTTTACCAATGTGCATGCCATAGATTTCTCATAATTCATACATTTTCTAATTAAATAAATTTAAAGGCCATATTAAACCAAATCTTACTGAATGATATGGATTAAAATGTGTGCATAAGTATGAAAGGCGTCATAATAGACATGTATCATTGTATGGCTTCTATGGGTTTTATTTCCTTGTTCAGCTCTCAGCAATAATATTAATGCTTTTGCTCCTTCAAATCAGGAAATCGACAAATACGCCGATCAATCCCATTTAGCCTCACTATATCTTATGGTAATTACAAATGATAAACATAACAAAGGAAAGAGGACAAGATGGAAACCCTTGTCGACTGCCTCGATTCGGATTTCCACTTATTTGTGCTCGCATAAATAATGAGCAAATTTTGTGTAAACAAGATGCAAAAACTGATTTACCGTCAGCATTTCATGATGAAAGCTTTCCTTATTAGACAATGAATCCGCATGTGCTGACACATACTATTTGTGCGCTTTCTTTCTTTATCGATAGACTCGTGTCATCGCATTTGCTGACATAACAAAGAGAGACAACTGTGTTATAACTATGGAGGACATAGTTCACAGAAATCAATTGTAAATGAAACAAATTCAGTTCGTACAAACAACAAATCGGAGGAACTTCCACGACACGGGAATGGCGATATTCCTGTTTCGTAATTTCAACACATCTCTTTGTTAATTAAACGTTTCTCTTTGCGGTCCGCGTTGGTAACTGAGGGTTTTCTTACAGGTCCGCGTAATCAAATCAAACAGAATCAGTTTGTTTTCTATTTAAAGGGTCCTTAAAGGGCATACCAATAACAAACAAAAGAAAAAAATACAAACATACAAACATACAAACATTTACATATTCATAGACATGACATGCATCTGGGAATAGTGTTGTTCCAACACTATTATATGATTTATATATATATATATATATATAAAGTGTGAGAGGAGAGCCATCTAAGTGAAAGAAAGACAACTCCGCTCTATATAAGACGTCATATAATGTTAATCACTTGCAGTTAGGTGTGCCAATTTAAGAAATTTAATTTGTTCAAATTTTGACATGCTCGCTTCGAAACTAAGTCTGATAGTTAGGTATTTACATACTTTTGTCATCATTTGTATTATCAATTTTGGATATTTGATAAATAGACTATCACGTAACGTTTTCTTGATGCTTCATATATATGACATATATTATTCCAATTATCTAACAAAGAAGAATTTAAATTTAAAATATGTACTTAATTTGGCTTTATGTAAATAAGAAGACCTATCTTCTAACCATGTCTCAAGAAAGCTGTGTATGAGACAACTTTTGGGTGATTTCTTAAACTTATAGATATAGGAAGATGTGGTATGAGTGCCAATGAGACAACACTCCATCCAAGTTACAATTTATAAAAGTAAACCATTATAGGTCAAGGTACGGCCTTCAACACGGACGCGGCATTGGCTCACACCGAACAGCAAGCTATAAAGGGCCCCCAAAAATTACTAGTGTAAAACCATTCAAACGGAAAAACCAACGGTCTAATCTATATAAAAACGAGAAACGAGAAACACGTATGAACTACATAAACAGACGACAACTACTGTAATCAGATTCCTGACTTAGGACAGGTGCAAACATTTGCAGCGGGATTAAACGTTTCATTGGTACCAAACCTTTTCCCTTTTCTGAAACAATAGTATAACATCACAACATAGAAAAACACACTATAAAATATCAATTGGAAGGCTTAACTCAATCAAAAAACGTAAATTAACACACACAATAAACGAATAAATTTGACCTGTGACACCTGAATGCAAATACACAGTTAATAAAAAATTACAAGGGATAAATAATTAAAGTCAAAAGTAAATAACAGGTTTAACCAAAGTTAACGTATGATATCACTGTGAAATTTCAAACAATTTATGGAAAATCATCACTTTTGAAGAAACCTGCGTCATTTTATACACAGGTAAATGAAAATAATTTTGTTGTTAAGTATACTTCTTCTTCGGTGTGTATAAAATCTTCCGTTTTGGAATACCAAGAAATTTCTTTAATATCAATAAAACTAATCTAACACTTGGTACATATGGGGTGAATATCAACAATAAAAATATACAATTAGTGCTAGATAAAACTTCCTGTACAGGTCCAAGAACAGCATATAAGGAAAAATGAAATAATTTTGATGTTCATAGTACGAAGAAGTGAAAATTTGTAGTAAATAAATACCAAATAATCAAAGCTGGTATATATAGACAAGATCCATGTTAACATTAAATAACAAAAAGGCATTACAAATAGTATCAACAGGTCAAATTAAAAAGAAAGTACGATTTGAGAGTACTCGCAGTTACTGACAGCTAGTTAAAAGCCAAAACAATTAATAATAAAAAATCATGCATCGATACTAAAATCAACTAAAATACACCCCAGGGATTTAGTATTTTAACGTCATGAACAGTCAAAGAAGACATGACTTGTGCAATGCCAAAAATGACAAAATCGATATGTGTGCCAATGTAAACTATATTCAGAGATCTAATTACAACATTGGTACGATAACCCTTACTAATAAGTTTGTTTAAAGGTTCGATGAGTTTACACGGATCACATAATGATTTCCGCGCTTTAAGTACAATATTACCATAAAATTTAGGATGTGAAATACCATTTTTAATAAGTTTTCTACAGGTACAGCCAAATTTACTAATTAAATCTTTGTATCTATGAAAGAATTTAGTAAAAGTTTTAAGTAATTTATGGTAACGAAATCCCTGACTTAATAATTTACCAGTGATGCATTGATTACGTTCGTTAAAATCTATGACATCACTACACACACGGGCATACCGAACGAGTTGGGATATATAAACACCGTATGATGGAGCCAAAGGCACATCGCCGTCTAAAAAAGGAAAATTAACAATAGAAATGAAAAATCGTCTCTTTTGTCGTAAATTTTAGTATGGAGTTTCCCTTTAGAAATTGAAATGTCTAAATCTAGAAAAGGACAGCTGCTGCTGTTTATGTTAGATTTAGTTAAAGTAAGTTCTTTTGGGTAAATTTCGGTAGTATATTTAGAGAACTCTGGATTATTTAACGAAAAAATATCATCCAGATAACGGTAGGTATTGTTGAATGTATCAACCAAATGTAACAATGATGTGTCTCTACTGAGTTTGGTCATAAACTGAGATTCATAGCAATACAGGAATAAATCTGCTATTAAAGGGGCGCAGTTAGTGCCCATAGGAATACCTACTACCTGACGATACACTTTATCGCCGAAACGTACATATATGTTATCTAGGAGAAAATTTAAAGCTTCAATCATATCCTCACATTTCCAGTAAGTGTATCTATCATACTTTCCTTTTTCGTCACTGAAAAGGCTTTAAACGAGTTACAGCAAATAAATTTACAATGAGATTTTTCGAAAGACCATTTTTTTAAATATGAAAATATTTTCTTTATTAGATTGTGTGGAAGTGTAGTGTAGAGAGTAGAAAATTCATAACTGTCAACAGAACCAAAAGGACCATCAAAAGCATGTATTTTATCTAAAACCTCTAAAGAATTTTTAACACCCCAAAAATAATTAATACCATTATTTTCATAAGCTTTATTACAAAAGTTAATAACCAGTTCTTTGATAGTAGTAAGGGAGGTAGTAAGAAGCACTGATATATTAGTAGTAGAACACTTACTAGATGCGGAGATAAAACGGAATTTAAATGGTTTTTTGTGTAATTTCGGTAACCAGTACATGGTAGGGACTTTCAAATGTTCGGAAGAGGCTATAAGCTGGGTAGTGGCAGTGATAATGATATGCTTGTTAACGATTTGACTCTCAGTGGTGCGTACGGACCTGAATGTTTACTTAAGTTTTTAACAATTGGCCAGATCAATGATTAATGTTTCATCATAGAGTAGCCGTTTTTTTTTAGCCAGGAGTTCAATGATGACCTTTGTCTCAAGTTATGCTGTGCAAATGAATATATTCCTTGTATGCCTTATTCAGCAAGTTTGATGAATTTTCTAGTCTGTGCCAATACATAATTTCTCGTTTGAACATGTCTATATCAAGAGGATGTCTTCCAAGTTCTGTTATAACTCCAGATTTGAAGTGGAATTTCAAAAGATCGGTTCCCCAGTCCTTGAATATATAAAAAAAAGATAATATAATTTTCTCTTTGGAGTAATGTCCAATTCTAGCAAACGTATAGAATTAGAGGTTTGATGCAATGATCAAATAAATGTGGATTTCAGGTCTCTAAATAAGAGCTTAAAACGTTTTTTTTTTAAATAGTTGTTTTCTAGCCTCGTTAAATTTCCAAGTATTCCCAATAATAAGATCCAAGTATTTATATTGCTTTACACTTTCTATGTCTTCTTTTCCGATATGGAAATTATCTTGTATCAATCTTCCGTCATTGTTGAGAGTAAATATTTTTGTTTTATTAGAGTCTACCTCTAGACACGATTCATTACGATAGTTAGAAAAAAAATTAAGTTTGTTTTGAATTTCTACCTTAGTTGTTGAAGAAGAAAAAAATAACCAAATCATCTGCGTAGAGGAGGCATGGTATCTTCTTGTTATTTAGACAAACTGAATCTGACTTTTCTTGTAAAATTGTTGAAAATCCATTGACGAAAAACTTTAAAAAAAATTGGGACTCAAAACATTACCTTGGTTTAGTCCAACCTCTGCTTTAAAAAAAAAACTGTTGTCATTTGGTTGTCCACTTTTACACATAACCTATCATTTCTATACATAGATTTCAATATTCTATAAAAGTAGTTGTTGATATTACAAAGTTGCAGTTTATCCATAATGCCAATGTGCATAACTTTATCGAAAAAGTTTCGAAAGTCCACAAAACATGTGAATACTTTTTTGTTACCAGTTTTCACAAATTTTTCTTTTAAACAACTTATAACAAAGATATGGTCTGAGGTACGGGCATTTTTTGAAAATCCTATTAAAATCAGTCAGGAAATTATCAAATCTGTTATTTTAATATCAAATTAAATACTTTACCAATGCTATTATCTATAGCAATTCCCCGTAATTTTCATGTTTTTTTTTCTATATTCTACTTTTAATATTGGACAGACAAAACTGTTAGACCATTCATTAGGATACATATTTGAAGATAAAGACTGCATTAAAAAGTTTAAGTAAGATTGTATATTTATATAAGATCGAGATGCCTTAAGCATGTTAATTAAGCATCTCGTTACTAATATAATCTTCTCCGAGACTTTAATTTTTTTTAGTGTGTTAAATGCCTTATCTAATTCTACTTCTAAAAAAAATTATCTAAAGGAGTGGGATTCGAAGATAGTTATTTTATATTTTCAAATAGTTTTTATTTTCTTCAACTATTTTCAGTTGAACATGTTTATCTGTAGGTCTGGAATAGATGCCTAGAATATTTAAAAAGTATCTTCAGACTTGTGTGGAGATCACCAAGCAGTTGTTTTGTTTACGAGTAGGACCCTAGCAGTTATCTGGAATAAACATTATGCATAATTAGGAT